ATTCCAGTTGTGTGATATTCCAGCCACAGCATGTTTTTTATTTCCTCTGGAGGACCAAATACACTTCAATGGTTCAGTGGCTGAGGTAGGTGAATACAGAAATAAATGTAACTTCCTGTGACTCATATGCAGAGATTAATAATCCTCATAACCTTGAATAAGCAACTGGAACCCCAGGGGAGAATAAACTCACTGAGAAGTGAAAGTATGGAGGAAGGAAAGGAGGAACCTAAATAGGATGTTATCTTTCTTCATGCATAAGCACTAAAAGTCATGCAGAGTGAATATGGAGGAGAGAATATTTCCAAGCTAGAAAGGTGCTGGTAGTTAACCATCAGGTGACTGTGGAATATGGAAAGAAGTGAGGAAGAAAGTTGCTTCATCTTTCAATGGAATGAGAGATATGAGAGCAGGCAGAGCAGAAATTGCTGCTGGAGCACAGTGAGTGTGGTGGTGTAAACATTCCCTTGTAGAGGTGGCAACGAATTCCTTGAATGCAAGGAGTAAAAATAAAAGTCTAATTATCATCAGAAGCTCTCCTCTGTGAATCCTTAACCTGTTCAGAATTTTGATGTTTAAAGAAGGATCTTGGAGAATACTGACAGTGTCTGTAACCTCATATAGCACAGAGCATTAGAACTTGTCAAAGGGTGGAATCCTTAGCTCCTTGATCACTTACTACTTTGAAGATAACAGTGGAACTTGGGATATATAAATATAGCTGTGTTGCTGAAGCTTTCTAGTATTTTCCTCTATGTTCACATTAATATTGACGTGCAAATTCTCTAGCTTTCCAGTGATTATTTTAACTGCATTACCTGAGGTTTAGAAGTCTGTTTTTCATAACAGAACTGTTTTAAAGCTAATTGAATGTGCTGCTTAAACCTTTCATTCAGTATGTTATGTTCTTTAGCAGCAGCACAACTCTGTAATAACTGAGAGTTAAAAAAAGATCTTGTTAACAAAATGTCCAGTGCAAGTATCCTGCTCTGTTTTAAAAAATATAACAGAAATTAAGTGTTAAGATTTGAATTAACACTGCATGCTTTATTTCTTTGTTATTTCTCTGTGGAGAGAAAACAGCAGGGAAAAGCAAACTGGCTTCCATTTGTTATAGCTTCCTTGAAATCCTTGTGACTCTGAAAAGGAGAATTCACTTGCATGTAAATAAAGCTTATTGACTTGGGAAGCAGGATCATGATCAGTGTTTATTTTACTTAGAATTAATGCCTTGCCTGACAGTGGGTTCCCAATGGTAAGTTCAGGCATTTGACAATGAGTCAAGCAAAGCAAAACACAGTCCTTTCACCCCAAAGTGCCTGAACTCCCTGACAAAAAGGTAGTTCTGCATGCAGTAATTGCACATATGAACAAAAAAGTTGGGCTAAAATTGTGCCTAGGACTGGGTACTTTACACTTCTGAGTCTAGTTTTTATGTTCCTCTTTTCCATAAAGGACATTCTTTTAGGAAATACAAACTAAAACATATGCAACTGTCAAGTGGTTGTGATGAAAAACCAGATAGGTTGTTGAATCTGGCCTTTCAATATTTATTATTGCCAGGATGCTTTTAAACAGCACTTTAGCAGCAGTTGAAATTACTCCAATATAGTACTTTATCGTGGCCATATTTCTGAAATGAAGTCATAGATTTTATAGACTATAAGATTAGATTAAAAAAAAAAAATTCTCTTTTGGTAGATTCTCTAAGATACATATCCAAGAAGGATATTTTTTTTTTTAGTACAAGTGTGCTGGTGGCATTTGGCCAGCGTCAGCCCATCACAAGTGGTAAAATAAAATGACTCACACTTCTTAAATGAAGTGAACCTGAATTTCTTTAGAGGCTTGCCCCATTTGTGGATGTCAGTTAAGCTGACCTCAGTTTGCTGTGTGTATTTCTCACACTGTTGCACTTCAAAAACCACTGAGCTTTGTGCTGCATTAGTTGAACTGTTCGCTTTTTGCTCTCCCACTGTGAATTACAAACCTCCCTCTCTCTTCCAGGAAAAGAGGGAAATTGGTATATTGAGACAAAAGAATCCACCATTGTATATAATGTGTTATGGGGTTATGTTTTGGTGTGCACTCAGAAGTCTGCAGAAAAGCATGGTGACCTTGCTGGTGATAGGCAAAGGATCATAGGAACCACCATGCTTGGAGGTGTTTAAGCAAAGACTGGACATGGCACTTAGTGCCATGGTGATGTTAGGCCATAGGTTGGACCTGATGATCTCAGAGGTCTTTTCCAACCTAACTGATTCTGTGATTGTGCATTATACTAGAGACAGCATGTCTCGATAATTTAATCAAAATATCAGGGCATGCAGTACAACTAGTTCCTGAAGAGAAAATGGAAATGTGGGCAGTGAATAGTTTTAACTGCTAGATGAACTTGGATAATTCTCATTAGATGAGACAAGAAAAACAAGATCCAAATGAAGAGGAACTCTTTGGATATTTCAGGTCAGGCAGTAGCTTGAGGAAAAGTCATCTTCACCAAGTCTGCCCTGTGTCTAACTTCTGCTGTGAGCCATAAACAGAGAGGAGCAACACTGCACTATAGCTCCATTGAGCTAATCAGCCTTCCTGCAGGAGGGAGCTTATAGTGTGTGCTGTTTATGTGGGAAATTGCCAGGATGCAAATACTTGATTAGCCAGCATATTATGAATCAGGGTCATAGCTGGAGTAGTTGCTTTGTTCAGAGATGCTCACATCCCTGGGGTAAGCAGCTAATTGCAGGAAATCTTTTAAAGCAAATGTGTGATAGGAAGAAAGCAATGAATATTGTTTATTCAAAAGGCAGGAGTGGTTCCTTTGAATCAGTTCTCTTGCATAATTATGTAATTAGGGCATGTTCTATTTTTAATTAAATCTCTTGCATATTCATGAGAATACTCTGAACCTGTGAACCAATTGGCATAACTCTTTAAAATGTAGTTTGTGTAAAGGAATGCCCTTCAATCTTTTTTCCCCTTTCCTATTACTGTGCAAAGAGATATTTCACATTGTTATAATTAGGTTGTATTGCCTGTCAAAACTAGAATGTGGTTAATTAAACCATTAATATAAAATTGCCAGAGAAAAGTTGTAAATGGAGATGAATAACTCAAGAAACTGCTGTATGGAAATACTTGTATCAAAACTGGGTTTTGCTGGACAGCTTGATCTGTGTAAGATATCAACCTGAGAGTGGAATTCGGTAAGTATACTTTATTTTCCTCAACTTTTCAAATCCAGCAATGATTCTCTGTATTTACAGTATGAAGACTGTCCACGTTCCCCTAACTTTGCTTTGTTTCTTGTGGGCTTCTGTCACTCTTCCTGTTCCTCTGCCTCTTTGACAACAACATTAACTCTGATTCCTCTTCCGACTTCCTGCTTATTCTTAGGAGCCTTGCTTTGTCACCCAACTCTTGTTCTCACATCTGCTCTTCTGTAGACTTGCTCAGCATTGTACATGAGGGCAAGCATACATAAGCTCTGCTTTCCTTGAATATTTTAAATATTACCACTTAGGTGAGTCTGCATATTTTGATTTACCACTATACCTCTATGTTCTTCTATTAGGTTGTGATTCACACCCTGTACATACTGCAGGGACTAAATGATCATTGCAGGTCCCCTCCAACTGAGCAATGCTATTCTATTCTATGTGGAGCCCAGGTGATAATCAATATAACAATCACAAAATAACAATAGGTTGTCACCAATCCCTGATGATTTACAATGTACATTTTACTGCTTTGCTATATTTAATATTTTTGGTGTTTGGGTTTTTTTTGGGTTTTGGTTGTGGTTGTTTTTTTGTTGTTTTAAATTGTTCTTTTTTTTTTTTCTATCTTATACCTCAATTCCTTCCATCTTTCCTGTCAGGGCTTAACTTCTACCTAGTGGAACATAGTACAAAGAAAATGCAGTGGCTGTTCCTTCCTCTCTAGCAAGAGTGGGAATGAAATTGGGAGCTGCAAAAAAATAGTTCTTGTGAAAAGTATCACTGAGTTCTCATAAAAGTCTTACTTTTCATGTGTGAACCAGTGTAAGAGCAGGGATTTTTAACTTACTTCTATGCAGAACAAAGACAAGGGCATTGAAATATATTAGCAACATACACCGAGCTCTGTGTGGGGGCCCAACCTTCAACACAGAACTCATCCTTCAGCCGATTTCTCTGTGACTTGCTCCATGAGCCGCTGCACACTGCGGAGATTTTCAAGCACATTTCATGAAGTCATGGTTGGAAGAGACCTTCAAGATTATGCAGTCCAACCATCCACCCACACTGCCCCTGTAAGCGCATGACCGCTGAACCACACTGCCCAGTGCCACATCCCGGTGCCTCTTGAGCACCTCCGGGGTGGTGGCTCCATCACCTTCCTGGGAAACCTATTCCAGGGAGTGATGAGGTTCCTCCTGAGCCTCCTCTTCTTGAAACCGAACCAGCTCAGGTCCCTCAGCCATTCCTCCTAAGACATGTTTTCTAGACCTTTCACGAGCCTTGCTGCCCTTTGCTGGACACACTCCAGCACCTCCATGTCCTTTTTAAAGGGAGCGGAAGATTTTCCCAGAGGCATCCAACTGACATGGGGATATCAGTTTCACGATGCCATAACCCTGAACTTCTTTCCACCACAGAAGGTCAAACCAGCGCGAGGAGCAACAGCAGTGGAGCCCCCTTGGAGCGAAGCCGCCCCAGTGTCACCGCGGGCGCCCTGAGGAACCGCGGGGATCTGCTCTCCGGTGACATCCACTCGAGGCGGACGAGGCGAATCTCAGCAGGGTTTAGCGTGGCCCGCACCGGCAGCCTCGGGGATGCACCTGAGCTCCCTCAGAGCATCCCGCCGGCGCTGCCCGCTCCCGGGAGGGTGACGCCATGAGGGGGGGCGGTGGGGGAGAAGGGCGCGCGGGCGCTTGTGGGAGAAGGGGGGGCGCCGCCATGTCAGGCGGGGCGGGAGGGAAGGAGGGAGGGGAGCGCGGGGCGGGACAGGGGCGGCGGCCGCAGCCGCAGCAGCAGCAGCCGGGGCGGTGGTGGCGGCTGCCGGCAGCTGTCAGCGCCCGCTCCGCCGGCGCCGACCACCGCGGCCCTGCCAGCGCCTTGCGGGAAGCGCTGGGTCCGCCGTGGTGCTGACTCGCTTCTTTCACGCCTCCCCTCCCTCTCTCCGGTCCTCTCTCTCCCCCAAAAACCCTTTTCCTTCCTCCCTTTCGCCCGCCCATCGCTGACATCCTCCTCCGGCCGCCTCCCCGCCCCGGGCTGCGCGGCCCCCGCCGCCCCAGCGAGCGCTGCGCACATCGCCCGAGCTGCAGCACCGAGCGGTGAGCGGGGGCAGCCGGCCGGGCCGGGGCCGGCGGGCCGGGACCCGGGGCGGGTGTGTTTGGGTGTGGGTGCGTGGGGTGTTCAGCTCCTCTCCCTTCTCATCCGCCGCTGCGCAAACAACAAAAGGCTGCGCGGGCCGCCCGGTCCCCCCGCGGCGCCGCCGCTGACAGCCGGCCCCGTCCTTTAAAGCGCGCCCAGGGCGGGGTGGCTTTTGGGGGAGGCTTTTTTTGGGCGTTTTGTCAGTTGCGCTCGGCTGCGGGCAGGGGTACGTGCCTGGGGATGGGCATCGGCTCGGCTTTGTCCCCGTTTCCTGTGCCGGCTCCCCCCGGTGCTGCGGCGGGCGCCGCCCTGGGAGGGAGCGGGCAGAGAGGGCTGGGGAGGCTCCGGCCTGCGGCTCCGGGCGTGCGGCGCTTTGTCTGCGCTCCCCCGGCGCCGGGGCTGCGCCGTGCCAGGGCGGAACTGCTGCGGGAAGGCGAGGCTAGGACAGGTCTGCTTTGGGCTTTGTACATAGTGACCGGATTTATGCGTTGTAGGTCACCTGCCGGGCTGTAGTCCGAGGGGATTCATAGACTTAGGTCTTGCCCGGATTTCTGCATCTCCAGAATAAGGAAAGCATTGGTTAGAAACAGGTTATTCCAGCAAAAATACATAATCGATTTAATTGATAACTAATTGTATCTTTAGAGCAGAGATTGATTAGAAGGACACTTCAAAACCTTACTTATTTTGCTTTGGTCTTTCTGATATTTCTAAGTAACAAGATGCCAGATTTGTAGATCTGCATAGCAGTTGTATGTAATCAGAATAAGGAAACTTCTTGACACTTGATTGAATTCTCTGTTCTAAGCATATTGAAGCACATTTTTATGGCCAAGGTGGCATCACCTAGTGTAATACTCTTGTGTGGCTTTTGAAGGTGGCTAAATCAATGATGGTGTTTTTTTTTTTTCCTTGTGTTAATGATTTCCATTAGTGGGTATGATGTAAAAGTAATATCAGTACTCAAGGTACTCGTCATGAAGTCAGAATACAAACTCAGAAAACAAAACTGGCTAGGAAAAAGCAAAAGTCTGTTTTTATAGTTCGCTTTGAACAGCAAAATTATAAGCCAGTGTCATTCATATAGCATGCTTTCAAGTTTACACATAAAAATACAAAAAACTAAAACAGCTAAAATTCATTTTTAGCTGTGTTGTGCTTGACAGAAGGTTTAACAACAATTGCTCTGCAAAGTAATTGTCTCTTTCACTTCCAGTTTTGCATTTGCTCATCACTTAAATAGGAAACTTACGCACAAAGGGTGTGCATTGGAAGCTAAAGAGGAACTGTTGAGGTTTTAGACAGCTTAGCATTTTGATTAAAAAAAAGAAAAGCCCAACAAAACGGAAAGCGACACCTTTTAGAATGCACTGTTGATTTAAAACTCTTTTGGAAAATAGCTTTATTTTAATTGGGTATGAATTCCAAAGCTTCAGCAGAACATGATAGAAGATGTTATAACCCTAGGATTACAGATACAATTGGAAGTTACACATTCAGCATTTACTGGCAGCAGAGAGAAAGCTGATCCATCTGGTGAGGCTGAGCAGAAGACCTTGCAAGTCACTTGCACAATCATTTTTGTGACCACATGGTTTAGGAGGACCTTTTCCATGAAATTAGAGCAGTTATGGAGAACTCTTGCAGTTCCATTTAGGTAGACATTTCATATAGTGGAGAAGCGTAGGGGTAAAGGCAGGGAATTTAAATTGTCCATTCCTGAAACTCGCTCACCAATGCAGTATCACTTCTGCATCACGTTGCAGTTAAAGTTTGGCAACCTTCATGTTTCTGAAGGATGAGGATGGAGCTGGACAGTTCCAGTAATCAGAAATTCTAACAGCAATTTGAGCATAGATTCTCTTTACTTGCTGCTATATATAACTAAAAAAGAGTATAAGGTTACCCCCCAAAGGTCCTGTGAAGTAGCTTCATTAATTGTTTGTCAAACTCCTGTGATATAATTAGTAATGCCTTATTAATGGAAATGGATTCTTTTAAAAGGTCTGTGTTTGACAACAGAGGAGTCACATACATAATTTGAAATTAAATATGCAGGAGTCAATCTGAATTTTTTTGACATAGAACAAAATACACTGTACAGACATTTAAGGTATATAAGGACAATTGCTGCTTCCTGTGTTTGTGCAGAACTTGCCATGCTCATGTCAGAAACCTCTCACTCATGTGCTGCTCATGCAGTACACATATCTCTCTCTCTATATCTTTTTGTGTATATACACATACCTACATATGTCTATTATTTAATTGGGAATTTGGGGAAATACTGTAGCCTTATATTCAGTTCTGAGTCCATTTAATGCAGCTTCTGTTTCTCTTGAAATGTGGGCTTGTGCAGTTGCTCTTTCATCTCTTCTTCTGTTTGACTTCTCTGGCAGACGTGCAATTGAATTTACTCTGGGATTGATAGCGTCTCTCCAGTTGCAAAGCTCATGATTATTTTAAAACTCAATTCAGTGTACAAATACTTGTAAAATAAAGTTTTTATAAGAGGAGTAAAAAATACAGAAATCTGGGTAAATTCACAAATAAGCAAAGTGTAGTCTGTGTGCAAAGCAGAGTGTATTCAGTGTTGAAGACCAGAGCCACAGATAGTGATGGGGACAAGCATGCTAGGTCTAGTTAAATTAACATTTTTTGTAGTCAGTATTCCTCCAGGGTGTTGTTCAGTATGACACAACTGTTGTAAAAATGGACCAGTTCCATCATCATGGCAATAAAGTGGGTAGCCACAGGCTTTCTCTTAATTCAGCCTTCATAATATTTCACGTTTCTGAAGTATTTCTAATTGTTTTACAAGAACACAGTATTTACCTTGACTAGAGTTTAAAAAAACATTTCTTTTCAATGTTAACTCTGATTTTCCTTCAAGCAAAAGCATGACAAACATAATGTCTAAAATGTATTTGTTGTACCCAAGTACCAGTCAGAGACACCTTGTTCACTCTAAAAAGATTCCTGTTTGTCTTCAAAATAGAACTGGTTGTAGCAGTTACCCTGAGTCAGAGTCAGCTTCAGGTGTTCTTGAGGTAATAAAGTTTTCCCACTGTTTGATTTAGTGAAACATTTTCCTTTCTGAAAGTAGGATGTAGAAGGAAATGTGGTTCCTTTGAAAATTACTAAATAAATGCCTGAGCAGAGAAAGGTGCCCTTTTTGTGACTTGGATTTGCTGAGATATTTGTTGTCGTCATCTTCCGGGATTTAAATTGGGCACTTCGTTATGAGGATTAGAGCCAGAATTGCAGATGCTCTCAGTGATACAGGAATTACTTCCAGAGGATTCTGTGTGAAGTGTTTTATAGCCATCAGGCATGAGATGACACTATACATGAGGTTTTTGTGCTAGACAATTAACATACTTAATAATAAGGGCAAGCATGAGGGCTGAAGGTTGTGTGTATGCTTCTAGTACCATAATATATTTGGGAATGTGAACAAAAGATGAACACTAAAGCACAGTTAACATTAGAGATGGTAAATTCTTTAATTGTATAAAGGCAGTCTCTGGTAGTTGACAGTTTCTTCAGATTCAGTCAGCTAAGAAAACAGAAGCAAGTAATAGTATCTGTGTGTTGATTTAATCACTGTTTGTTTCTTTGAATCCAGCTTATCTCCCAGGAATGCTGCTATTTAACTGCAGTTAGAAACAAGCTTTACTCTGGAAGCTGTATTTTGGCATTTGGCATGTATGTAGAATTAAAGTGAATTTAGTTTGTCAAATAGTTATTGTTGGTCGTGTTTCTTGCTGAAAATGAGGAATATGGGCTCATACCATCTTGTATTTCCCACATGATTGTTGTCTGTTGTCTGCTTAAATGGACATATTTTGTACATGGTTTCTCAAGATGAAGTCTTCCTTACAAGTGAAAGCAGTAAAATATCTTTTGTGGGTAGACTTAAAAGTGAGCAGTTTCATATTTTGATTATTTTGTAAATACCCACCATAAACCAAATTCATATTTAGATTTTCTTTCTGGGATTATGTCAGAAACCTAGCTGATTTTATTAAATTTGAAGTGACTAGAACAAAGGATGTCACCAGTCTAGTGGGTAGTACTGGTTTCCTTACATATCTGTAGGGTTGGGGTGGTGGCTAATTATATTACATTTACAATGGGATGTACCACATCAAATCATTTTAAAAGTTAACACTGCACTTCTTACTGTTCAGAAGTTCAAGAAATGTCTGACATAAACCAACTTTTTGATACTACTTAAAAAGTTATATCTACAAGTTAGTCTTCTTAAAGGACAATACATATATTTTTCAGGATTATCAGGTAAATAATTATCTTCATTCTTACCTGTGTTTGTATGTAGTAGTTAAGTAGTTAATGTTAACAAAAAAGTAAGAATACTGGCAGTGTGCTATGGTTATAATTTGTGAGCCATTTCTCAGTGCAGAGGATGGTGGTTTAAGCTTTGGGAAGGATTGCAGTAACTGCATTCCTGCACTGTATCCTGAGTTTGTTCCTTCCAGCTGACAGTAGCTGAATGATTTGCAAACCATGTCATTATAGATTAGGGACTGGCAGGGAGGAGCTGGGTGTGTGTTGGTGTGCTTCTGCTGCTTTCTTTTTGTTTTTCTAAATAAAATATTATCTTAAGATTAAGTGCTTTTATGGATGTTCCTTTATCAAACAATGTCAGCCTGAATAATGTGGAAAAGCCAGAGTTTCTTTCTCTTCTGGCTTGAGCAGCTTCCATTTCAGAGAGGCTGCTGTTACTCTGTCATCCCTCCTGTCTTTGCCATGAGTGGATTTTAGTGTATCCCCACCTTTAATGTTTCATTTGTTCGTGTGCTTAAACTGGATGTTCCACCCTGCTCTCCCCCAGCTCCCAGTCACATTTAGAGTGTATTTAAAGGGAGGAGGGTTGATGAAAGAAGTGGATTCATCTCTCCCTCACAGTGGCTGAGTGCAGTCAGATTAATCCAAC